AATGAACTCTCTACCATCCACCCCATGCCCCTGGGGAAAGAAGAAACCTATGGGCAGACTGCACTACTCTCCAGAGAGCCCAGCTTGCCCTGAGGCACAGTGCTGAGGGCAGGGGGGAGGTGTGACAGAGTCAGGCAGGGTCCTGTCCTCACAGGGTCCAGTCAGGAGCATAAGGCCCACATTGGACATCCCTTTTCTTCTTTCTTTCTTGTAACAGAACGTGTCTTTTTGCTTTGTTTTGATCGCTGGGGTGACTATGTCCAACACACACCTTTTGCCACTTTACCTTTGTGCAGGTGTGCAACTTACTGACAACACTTAACATTAATCAGCTGTGCAGCCTTTCACCTTTCACCCCCATGCTCCCTCCCGTTCCCTGTGGAGTGGTTCTGGGGAAAGAGCCCAGCAGTGGGACTCCTGAGCCTGGACTGTGGTCACAGTCCCCTTTGTGAGGCTCAGATGTCTTTCGTCAGTGGCTGTGGGTGACCTAGGACAGTAGTTCCCAAATGTGCCTGGGCATCAGAATCAGCCCAGGTACCTCATGTCAAAACCGTGGATTCCTGGGCCTTAACCTTGCGAAGTCTGATTTAGGAGGTCTAGGGAACGACCTAGGATTTGAACAACCTTCAGTCCCAGTGAAAGACGTTTATCACAAAAGGCAAGTATTGTATGGCCAAACTTGTGTGAAAAGACTAGAAAAGGCAAATGTATAGAGAACAAAGCTAATTAGTGGTTCCCAGGGGCAGGAGTGGGTGGGGGGGGGGGAGGTTAAAAGGTGATAGGACCATCACCTTGATGAAAGGCAGGGTTGCACCACTGATTATTGGTAGTACTGTCCAGAAGATATGTACCTGTACAAAGTTGAACTGGCAAAGACTGTGTGACAGACATATTTACAGCAATGACCAAAAAAAAAAAAAAGGAGCATCTGTACCACCAAATACTCCTGCAATTTTTGGTTCCTTGACTTGGAGCCTTAGAGTATCATGTGACATCCTAGTTAATTGACCTAACAACATACTTAGTGCTTCTGTTCTACCTCCTAGTTCATTGCGTAGTGCCTGGGGTCTTAGAAATTTGCAGCCAGGTTGGAAATGACTGGTCTAAGTCATCTCTAAAAGCCCTCTGAGTGCCAAGTGCTAGGCTGTGATTATAAACCCATCTTGCTGATTCCAAGGCCTTTGCTGTTAGGCATGGTCATCCTACCAGGCACCTTTTATGCACTACTGTATTTAATCTGCTTGACAGCACTAATTAGTACAATTGGTGCAGACTGACTTAAGCACAAAGGAAAAGTCTCAGAAGGACTTAAGTTTGCTTATAGAATTGCCAGCAAGGCTGCAGAACCAGTTTCAGACACAGACAACAACCAGACCAGGAGTCTGGCTAACAGGACTCCTCATCAGTATTGTCAGGACATTGTGACTGGAAGGAATGGGCTCCACTGTTTATTTTGATCAATGTGTCCGTGTTTGAAATCCTAGGGAATTTGTGGCCAATTGGCTGGGTCATAAATCTGACCCCTGAGCTGGGTGTTCAGGGCACTTTCATTAATAGTTTCAGAGTCTGTAACCAGGGAGTTATATCATTCCCTAGAAGAAGTGTGGGGTACTCTGACCAAAAGACAACAAATTGATGTTGGGCATCAACAACAACAAAAATGTCGACTACAATTATTATCCCCACTTTTCAGATGAGGAAACTGAGGAGAGTGTGATTTCAGTTGTCCAAAGCTACACAACCAGGATTTGAACCCAGACAAGCCTATGTCCTGAACCCACTCTGTAAAATCTCTTTGTCTTTCTACTTTTTATGTTCTCTTTTCTTTCTTGACTCTCAGGGCCCAGAGCTGTCTCTGCTGTAGAACCCAGCACCACAGACTTGCAGAGTAAGGCCAGCGCTTGCGACCCTGAGGACAGCCTGAATCCTGGCCCAGGTGGACGAGGGCCCAGCAGAAGGGGAGGGATGAAGAAGTATGCCAAGACCCTGAGGAAAAGGAGGTCCTTCCTACAGACTGACTACACGTCGCAGGTCTCATTTCCCCTGATGTCCTCGGCCTCCCTGGAGAGCGTGGACGATGTGTGCTACTATGACAGGGAGCCCTACCTGGCTCCCGGTACCCCCTCCCCAACTGTGTCCTCCCTGCAGGACATGCAGGGTGAGCCTGGCCTTTTGGAAACCAAGGCCCTGGCGCTGCTGGCTCCCCTGAGAGAGGCCAAGAGCAAAAACCCAGCCTCCAGGGTCATGGAGATGGAGCCGGAGACCATGGAAACCAAGTCAGTCATCGACTCCCGGGTGTCTTCTATTTCTGCCATCCGCCTCCGGGTTGACTCTAACCATAAAGAAAATTCCGCGGTTGTCCCGTTGACTGCCCCTGTTGTCCGTTCCCCAGCAAGCTCCTCTCACTGTTCCGAGCCAGGTTCATCTGGACCAGATGCTGCCCAGGCAGGGCCTCCCCAAACCTTATCTCCCTCTCAAGACCCAGATGGCAGTGCCCCCAAAGAAGGGGCCACAGAGACTGGGGGCAGCACGTCCCTCTCCAGCGCCCATCCTGCCGCAGACAGGGTCTGTCCGGCCCTCGGCTCAGGGCCGCACATCGTCTCTCAGGAAGATGCAGTACCGCTTGGAGCGGTCCAATCGGAAGCAGGATTGGCATCTTTGTTTACAAATGATATGCAAGAAACTGCCCCTAAAAACACAGGACCTTTGCTGTCTCCCAGAGACCAGCCCAGAAGTGGTGAATGTGCAATGAATTCCGGAGAGAAGATGGCCTCTTTCCCTACAGAGCAAAAGCAGCGAGGACAGCGACTTTTGGAGAGTGACAGAAAGGCTACAGACAAAATGGGCAACGGCTTCTTTCCAGAGGATTCTGAGAAGGATGCGGATGACCCCGAGGGTGACCTGGCAGCTGCTGCTGTGCAGGCGCTTGGCGCCCGGGCTCCAGCTGTGGAGACGAGTGGCTCCCTCTCCTCGGAGGCTCCTGTAACAGGGACCAAGCAGAGCCCTGCACGCGCTCCCAGGGGTCCTCAGGGACAAAGCAAAGAAACACCAGGCCAAGCCTCTGGGACCGAAGACCAAAAGTTACTGGCAGACTTGGATTTAGATGCTGAGTTTTTGCTCGAGGACCAGCCCATTCTATCAGCCTTCCCTCCCGAGGGGGTCAAGGCAGAGCCGCCTAACCATAGGGTGCGGGGAGACGCAGCCCCTATGGACACTGCTCCATGCATCTGTTTGAACCCAGAGCCTTCCCTGCAAAATCCACGCCCGCGTCCCCAAGAGAAGCCCCACTGGGAGGGTCCAAACCACTGCTCGCTGTCAGAAAGCAAAGGCAAGAACCCTGGCATCTGCCTGCACGCCGAGAAGCCCTTCCTGTGTTTCGCCCCAGGAGACCATCCTGATGTCCCTGCCAGGCCCAGGGTGGCCACGTCTCTGGGTTTTGTGGGCATGAGTGAGGCGGTAGCGCCCATGACAGGGCTGGAGCACTGTCGCTGCCAGGTCTCCTACGCCACGTGCTTCCGTGGCCCGCAGCCTGAGCTGCAGGAAGCAGACAGGGACTCGGGAGCACAGCCCACGCCCCCGCGCACGTCCCCGCCGTGTGCGGGCAGCCCGCCAGCCCTGCCCTGGAGGCCTCCCCGGGCCCGCAGCTGCAGCCCTGAGCCCCAGTGGAGGAGCGACCGCCTCTGGCCCGAGTACTGCTCCCGGGCCCTGGGACGGCTGCGAGCTGCCCCCGCCAGTGCCCCCGAGGGCTTCACCCAGCTCTCGGAGAGCTTGCTGGAGCTGCAGGGCGTCCTGGAAGCCTCCCGGGGGGATGGGAGCAAGCACCCCCCAGAGATGTGCACCTGGCACCTTTCTGAAAGTCGGAGCCGCCTCTGCGTGGGCTCCCAGAAGCTCCTGTCGAGCTGCCAGCACGTGATCAGAATGGACCAGTCCCCCGAAGAGCTGCAGGGCGCCGTGTGGGACACCTTCCTGCACCTGGTCCAGCTGGCCGGCCTGTGCGTCCAGTTCACTGACTGCAGCCGCTGCTCTGCCCGCCACAGGGAGGCGGCTGGCCACCTGAGGGACGTGGTGGACACCTACTGCCAGTTCGTGGAGGCCGCTAGGCTGACCTGCGAGAGAGGCTACCACGACTTGAGCGTGAAACTCTTGGCCCGTCAGTGCACGGCCCTCACGGCCTCCGTGTTCTGTTTGACCCATAAATTCCGGGCATCGACTGCCCTGTGAGCAGGCCAATGGCCCCAGGCCCCCTGGCCTGCCCTAGAAGTTCCCCGAGATGCACTCTCATCCCTCCCCCCTTAAATGTTTAGCATACTCAATAAACTGCTGTGTAACCTTGGCCTGAATCACAGATGGTAACTTGGGGTCAAAAGCATTCACTTCTATTCATCCAGCAGTCATCCCCTGGGTCCCCCTGTGTGCCTTGTTCTAGGACCTTGGCATATGAAGACAGTAAGACAGGACCCTGTCCCTAATCAGGATGCCGCAGATCCTCTGGGGGTACAGATAGGGAAGTGGGTTCTATACGGGACCTACCCAGGGTCTAGGCAGCTCGCGGAAGTCACGTATTTGTCTCCAGAGAGCAGGGATGAGGAAGAAAGGTAGGGTCACTGAAAAGCAGTCTTGACTCTCAGTCCATAGCAGTAACTTTGACTGGGATGGATACACATGGCATTGGACAGGCTCTCCTTTCCCTCTGACACACACAGGGTCACCCTGGCTTGGAATCCCCTCCACAGTGACTGGTGACTGGTGTTTGGAGTCCCTGAGTGGTGCGAACGGTTTAGGCACTCAGCTGCGAACACAAAGGTCAGCCGTTTGAGTCCACCTACAGGCACCTTGGAGAAAAGCCGTAGCAATCTGCTTCCGAGAAACCGTCCACTGGAAGCCGTCTGGGGCACAGTGACACTCACGGAGTCACCCTGAGTTGGGATCTACTCCACAGTGACTGGAAACAGGTTACTTGTGCTTCTGGTTTGCTGTGTCTGCCCGGGGACACCTGATATTTCTGGCTACTTCCCTGCGGGAAGCAGAACTTTCCACTCAAAAAAAGCAAACTCGCTGCCATGGAGTCGCGTCTGACTCGCAACGACCCCCACTGGGTTTCCGAGGTTTCCACTTGGCGGCAGGAATTTCCTTAGTCACCTGGCCACCCACATTCAGATGTGCTGTTTTGTCTGAAGTTGGCGGCACACCTTAATTTTGCACCCTATTCCTGTTTTAAGTGTATAAAAAGGCAAACAGTGAAATCCGACTGTAAACTGAATTAGATGTTCTCTTTAAGAATACTCTTAGAGCAACAGAAATACAGTCAGTACCTTTCTCATTAATCCCAGCTGAGCCACTTAAGCTCCGTGGGACCTTGGGTGAGGTCCTTAACCTCACAGTGCTTTGCTTTTCTCTCTGGTGGTGCAGTGCCTAAGGCATCTGTCTGCTAACCAGAAGGCTGGCGGTTCAAACCCACCAGCCACTCCTCGGAAGGAAGTTTGGACAATCTACTTCCATAGTGATACTGCCTTGGAAACCTAAGGAGGGGTCGCTATGAGTCGGGTCCGACTCGACAACAGTGAATTGGTTTTTTTGGAAATTGGGGGTACCAGTAGTGCCCATCTTACAGGGTGGACATCTACTAAATATTCATTAGATGTTAGTACTAATTACCTCCAGCTTTCATGGATGCCTCTCCTAGTCCAAAACTCTTCCCTGTATTTTGTTCTCAGATCCCAGGGTAACTGGTTTCAAGATATCCCTGGAATACTTTTTCCCTGGCTTCTCTGTCCAGGCAAAAGGCGCTTCAGTTGCCTGCCTTACACTGTTAGAGATCAGTGAAGGAGCCCCTGTCCCTGTGGTGTCTGAGCCGCTGTGTGCTCAGTGTTCCTCTTCTCTGTTGTCGAGTGCTGTCACGTCCCTTCCGACCCACAGCGCCCCTACCAGTTAACTCATATTTGTGCCAGGAAGAGATTCGGAGCTGGCTTCCTTTCCTCTACAGAATACTGTGACTAAAGTTCAATAAGGCCTTTTAAGACATTTCAGTTGATTTCATGACGATCAAAAATAGGAACACCATAACACCAAGCTAGTAGAAATTCTATGCTATCAAACAGAACTGGAACACGTGCCAACAGGAAGCTACAGTCAACGTGCTCACAGGTTTAGGGAAGGATCCCAGGACTTCAGCTGAACTGAAGCTTGAATCCTGGATGTGACACATCTCTGAGCCTCAGTTTCCCCATCTGCCATGGGCTCCGTTCAGTGAGGGCCCACAGTGTGCCAGATGCCCTCCCTGGATACTTTGACTACATTTTCTTATTTACATGACAACACGCGGGCAGTGACTGATCCGTAATAGACATTCAGCATTACTGTGAAACACCATCTTGGAAAACAGGAGAAAACGGAACCCACTAGCACAGGTACTTAGTACACGGGTCTTTCCTTCTGTCTGCCCCTCCCCTCCAATCCATTCGCTTTCTTGGTTGCTGTTGTCTGGAGCTGGTGTTTTGCTCCGCTGAGTCCTGGGAGTGCTAAGTAACCCCTCAGTGCTTGTTGAGATGCTGGGGTGCAGGGATGACTGTCCTGCTTAGCACTTGCTTTGAAACACGCAGCCTCTCTACCAGAGGGTAGGGAGGGTGCTGCCTCCCCCACAAGGTGAGAGTCAATTGTTTCATGACTAAGAAACTGCTGGACATTCCCACCCACTTTTCCCACCCACCTTCATGTTGGCGGATCCATTTTTTTCAACAAGTGTTTATGGAGTACTCATGCCAGGTGACGCCTGGTGCAGGATCATGGACATGAATAATAAGGCGAGGATCCTGTTGTCAGGATCTCTGGTGTAGGAGAGGACACATAGAGACAGAAACCACAACACAAGGCATTGTGTGAAAAGTCGGAGTAGAGAGAAGTCATTGTTTGTCGGGGGCAGAATAGTGATCAGAGAAGGCTTCCTGTAGGAGGCAGCATTAAGTAAAACTAGAACAGGCAGTCCCTGGTTTATGAACATCCCACTTAACGTACAACCCTTAGTTACAAATTAACCCCCCGTAAAGTCTATTACATTAAAACTTCGAGGTACATACAGTGGTTTTAATAACAAGCGGGTGCTACTTGGCAATGCACATTAAAGCAGTGTTACTATTATTACTATATTATGTTAAAGATGTTTTAGGGTATGTATTTTGTGTGCATAAACAGGTATGCTATATGCTAAGACAAATATTTGACTAATTGACATTAGGCACAAGCCATACCTAACTGTTCCAACTTAACATACAAATTGACTTAAAGGTAAATTTAGAAATGGAACTCGTTCATAATCCGGGGGCTGCCTATATGTCAAAAAGTATTTGTTGAGTATTTACTGTGTGTCTGGTCCTGCACTTAGTGGAAAAGAAACTCGGATTTGATGTGTCAAGAAAGGAGAAACATTATTCACTTGTTCTTCTTGTCAACAAATATTTACTACACGGTCACACTGGGTGTGCAGCTGCACACATGGCAGGTGTACTTCCCTTGCAGACTACTAGAACCTTGTAGGAATGACACAGAACAAAAGATACGCTGTATAAAGAAAGAAAGTGCCAAGATGGGGGTGGGAGGAGCTAGTCTTACCGACCAGACCAAACTCACTGCCACCAGTCGATTCTAACTCATAGCAATCCCCACTGGGTTTCCAAGGCTATAAATCTTTACAGAGATAGATTGCCTCATTTAAGGAAGAGTGCTGGAGTGGCTTGTCAGTGTGAACCACTGGCCTTTTGGTTAGCAGCCAAATGCCTTAACCACTACACCATCAGAGCTCCCTAATCTTACCTAAGTGGCCAGTAAAGGCCTCTCTGAAGCCTGAAAAAGAAGGAAGAATCAACCATGGAAAAATTGAGAAGAAAAGGCACAGTGTCTAGAAGCCCTAGGTGTACTCGAAGCATTTCAAGAGGATGCGTGTGTCTGTAGCATAGCGAGCAGGGGCAGCGGTGATGGGAGACAGGATTGGAGGGGCAGGCGGGAACTTGGCCTGGCAAGTACACTGAGAAGCTACCGAGGGGTTGGAATAGAAGAGACACATCATCTGAGGGGGGTAGAGGGAGCAGTGAGACCAGTCGGAAGGCCTTTTCCAGGAGGAAGTGGCTGTGAGCTCATCTGAATGGTGAAGGGACATGAGCGATGGCAGGGAGGGGACACAGAGGCAGGAAGGGTGCAGGGCTAGCAGGGGTGGTGGGAGCTGATACCTGAAAGGTCACTGCACAGCATTTGAGTCACGTTGCATCTCCTGTTCAGCAATTTGAGCAGGCAGTGGTGAGTCAGGGCCAGCTTCTGAACAGAGCAGAAAGCAGAGACGTTTCAGCTGGGCTTCTGAAAAAGCCTACGGGTGGGGGGGCGGATTTTTAGTTTTAGCGTTTAAAAATCTACCCTGGTATGGGATAAGCAATGGGTTGAAGCATGAAGCGCGTAGGTGTGGCAAGTGCAGGAGCCCTAAGATAGCCCCAGAAGGGAGACAGTGAGGAGCCCTGCGGGATCCACCGTGATTTCCTGAGCAGGAGATATTTCTGGTTCATTCATCCTGGGGCCTCTCTGAAAGGGTGAGACCCACGGGACTTAAAGGGAAAGGTGGCTGATAGTCTGCACCAGGCCAAGGCTTGTACAAGTAGCTTCACCTCTGAGTCTCCTTTGGGGAGATGCGGAGGGAAGAGTAGCCAGAGGCTAGAATCTGCCTGACCAAATCGGGGTATCTCTGGACAGCGAGGTAGTTGGGAAGGGAGCTGCGTGGTCAGGAAAGGGTTGTATCAGCTCGAAGCCCTGTCGGTTCAGAGGAAACCAGGGGAAGGGCATCGTGGCTGCGGAACGGAGGGCGGTTGAGCCTTGGTTTCAGACTAGTTGCCAATGCCCAGTTCTTGAAACCCACAAACCCTGGTCATCGGCAGCAGCCCTGTGAGGTCAGCAATGGGCTGGAATTGTAATTTCCGTCTATCTGACAGGGAAACAGGGTCAACACTCTTCTAGGGTCGCAGCTGCCTAGTGCCAGGGTTGGCCGCTGAAGCGCCAGCTTGAGCTCTGGCCCCTGGCCCCTGAGCTGCCAGCCTGGAAACTACAATTCCCGGGATGCCGTGCGCAGAGGGACCAGAAACCGGAAGTAATACCGGAGGCGGGGCCGAGTGTGCGCTGCCGCCGCCGCGTGAAGTAGAGCGATCAGGTACATCCGGGATTCGCTTTGGGGGCTGAGCTGGGGTTGGGAATCAGGCCGGAGACAGTCCCCGCGCGCTAGCGGGCCGCGAGGAGGTTGAGGAAGTAGTGTTTCACATTAAACTGGCCCGAGGTACCCCACTTTCCAGGTTCTTCCCCTTCCGCCTCCCCTCGCATACGCAGCCTGAGGGCTGGCGGGAGCCATAGGCGGGGTACTCTTGGGTCTGTGGTCTGAGTGTTCTCGCCTTGAAGTTTTCGGGAGAGTGGAGCCAGCTTCGGCAGATTTAAATTTAGAATGAAAAAAGGAGAGAAGCGATCAAGGAGAGGCTGGCGCTTTCGCGCCGCTTATACGCGCATGGGGTGGGACTTGGCGGGGGAAAAAACTCTGAGGGCAACCCAGAGATGGGGGCGGGGGTGGAAGAGGCCTTAATTAATTCAGCAGTTTGTGTTCCACGTGTGCTGTGTACCAGACCGTTTTTTAAAGTAGGGGATATTGAACAGATATATGCACACCCATGTTCATCGCAGCACTATTTACAACTACAAAAAGATAGAAACAGCCGAGGTGTCCATCAACAGAAGAATGGATAACCAAACTATGGTATATGCACACAACGGAATACTATGCAACACTAAAGAATAATGTAGAATCTGCATAATATGGAGGAATTGGGAGGACGTTATGCTGAGTGAAGTAAGTCAGTCACAGAAGGACAGATACTGTATTAGTTCATTATCGTAAAAAGTCAAGGGAAAGTTTTTATATATGAAAGGAAACTTTTCTTTGTTAGTTACCAGGGGTGGGGACCAAGAACCAGGGGTCAATTTTGCAGCTGAAGGCTTGACTTTTTTCTTTGGCTTTTTTGGCTTTACAGATGCCAAGCATGTTCTTCCTTTTTGATTTTCTGAGTCCAGGTCTTTGCACATTTCATTCATAATACTTTGTCTTTTCAACCTGGCCTTTGAAATCGTCTGTTCAGCTCTTTTACTTCATCATTTCTTCCATTTGCTTTAGTTACTCTGCATTCAATAGCAAGTTTCAGAGTCTCTTCTGCCATCCTTTTGGTCCTTTCTTTTTCCTTGTCTTGTTCATGACCTTTTGCTTTCATCATGTGTGATGTCCTTGACATCATTGTACAACTTGTCTGATTTGGTGTCAATCTGTTCTTGGGATAATGTCTAAATTCAGATGAGATATAATCAAAGTTGTATTCTAGTACTTGTGGATTTGTTTTAATTTTTTTCAGCTTCAACTTTAATTTGCATGTGAGCCATTGATGGTCTGTTCTACAGCCCATCCGTGGCCTTGTTCTGACTTAGGATACTGAGCTTCTCCATCATCTCTTTCCACAGATGTAGTCGATTTGATTCCTGTGCATTCCAGCTGGCAAGGTCCACATGTATGGTCGCTGTTTATTTTGTTGAAAAAGGTATTTGCAATTAATAAGTCATTTGTCTTGCAAAATTCTATCACCTGTGTTCCTTGTAGTGTTCAAAATAGCAAAAAGATGGATGGATAAACAGATTGTGGGATATGCATACAATGGAATGCTGTGGAACTCTAAAGAGTAATGATGCATCCGTGAGACATAACAGGGATGAGTCTAGAGGAAGTAATGAGGGAAGTAAGTCAGTCACGGTAGGACAGGCATTTTATGGTCTCACTTTTATAAAAGGTCAAGAAGAGGTATTTTTTTTTTTTTTTTTTAGGATTTGGGTGAAGATTTACAGAGTAAATTCACTTTTCATACAGCAGTTCACATATACTTTGTCTCATGTCATTGACCAAAATTTACAATGCAGCAGCTCCCCTCCCACTTCCTCCCCACAGTTACCTCCTCCCAGTGTCCATCCCTTCATACTCTTCTGCACCCTGAGCTACCTCCCTGTGCATAAGCAGCCCTTCCTTCTCCCATGATTGTTCTCTCCAGGGCGTGTGTCTACTTGAGGTAAATGTTTAACTCACATGCCTGTACTTTGTTTGGCTGGAAACCACAGTTGTGGGTTCAATTCCAGACCCGAAGGGCAACTAGGGGCCATAGTCTCAGTGGTTACATCAGGCTCCATTGGACCAGCAAACCTGGTCCCCACCAAGAAGAGGTATTCTTACAGAAAGCAGCATCCTTTGATGGTTAGCAGGGATAGGAAGGGAGAGAGAGCAAATCACACACTTCAGATAGTAGACATTTGTTATTTTTGGTGATGGGAAGGGCAATACCTAACATGAGTAAAGTCTGCACAATTTCTCTAAGGTAAGTGAATACACTAAGTATGCAAAAGTAAGGGACAATTTTGGTAAATGTTATAACACACAGTTTGGCAACAGTAATAATAACAACTAAAATGTGAGTAGGTATGTATGCATATAGGTGTACAGGAAGGCACATGTGAGTATGTGGGTGTGCATGTATACGTGTATCTGTAGGCATATATGTATACATGTTCACATGTACTGCATATGTATTCATCTCTATAATCACATAGGGGCGCAGTTGCTATGGATACTTCCTAGACATAATCAAACACCACATGGGATTGGTTTACAGGGTTTGAAGGCTTGGGACCATAGTCATATGGGGCAACTCAGTCAGTTGGCATAATGTAGCTCATAAGATTCTCTATCCTGGTCTGATGAGTAGTGTCTGGTGTCTTGAAAGCATGCAAATGGCCACCTAAGATGCAACTGATGGTCTCTTCCCATCGAAAACAAGAGAAGGTGAAGGAAACCAAAGACTTAAAGAAGAAACTCCTCCACAGGACTGATACCCAACATGAACCATGGTCTCACCTAGTCTGAGACCAGAAGAACTAGGTTACGCCTGGCTGCCACTACCAACCCTTCTGACCAGGGACACAGTAGAAGGAATAATTGATGGAAAAGGGGAAAAACAGCACAAAAAATCAAATTCCTAAAAAAAGGGTCAGACTTATTGGACTGATGGAGACTAGAAGAACCTTCAAGACTATCATCCTAAGATACCCTTGGACTTAGAAGTAAAGCCACTCCCAGTGGTCTCCTTTCATCCAAATAATAGATTGTCTTGTAAAAGAAACAATATCACCTATGAATACTGTACTCCCTTAAATAATCAACTATAGCGCCTAAGGCATTTTGACTGCTAACCAGAAGGCTGGCAGTTCAAACCCACCAGCCACTCCCTAGAAGGAAGACTGGGCAATCTGCTTCCATAGTGATACCACTCGGAATCCTAAAGAGGGCTTGCTATGAGTCAGAAACGACTTGATGGCAGTGAGTTTGGTGTGGTTTTGGAGACAGAATGGCCAATGTCTACCCTAAAACAAAGATGAGAAGCTAAGAAGGGGCAGGGAAGCTAGCTTAATGGAGACAGAACAAAAAGAATGGAAGTAATGAGAATGTTGATTCATTGTGAAGAGTATAACCAATGACATGGATCAAGTTGTATAAAAATGGTTAAACGGGAATCAGATTTGCTATGTAAACTTTCACCTAAAACACAATATTTTAAAAAATTGTATAAAGAATATAAATTTATTTTGAAAATAATATTTATAAAATAAATTTCAAAATAGAATACTTTATACCTATAGTGGCTTATTTGTCATTTGGATGCAGGAAGATACCAGGGTACTAGGAGCACATGGGTCCTAGGAACACACTGGTATCTCCCAATAGCATTAGCTTCCATAACCGGACCTTTTTCTAATGCAGGTGAGCAGGACAGGGGACCAATAAGCACATGGACTGGAAACTGGAAGGGAGTGCTTGGGGGACAGAGTCACACGTGCTGCCGGGCCAAGAAGGCATCCACGAGGATGCAGGTGAAGAAGGCGTCTCCGAAAGCTTCCAGCTGCTTCAGATTGACGTGGAATGTGAGAGCCCAGTGAGGGGAGCCCTGCCCACAGGCGCTGCCTCCTGGTGCTCGGTGAGTGCGGGGCTGCCCGGGCTGTGGGCTTTGTGATGAGACATAAGAGCGGGTTCTAGTTGCAGAAGAAACACTGAGAGAGAGAGTTTTGTGTATCCCAGGTGATGAATGTTGTTAACTGGTTTAGGGTTTCAGCTCCATTTGACTCATGTTGTTGTTGTTGTTGTTATGTGCCGTCAAGTCGGACCCGACTCATAGCGACCCCTCCTTGGGTTTCCGAGGCAGTATCACTATGGAAGTAGATTGCCCCATCTTCCTTCCGAGGAGTGGCTGGTGGGTTTGAACCGCCAGCCTTCTGGTTAGCAGTCAAGTGCCTTAGCCACTATGCTACCAGAGCTCCTCCATTTGACTCATAGGAGAGGTAAATCGGTTCAAGAGGAATTTTTTACACATCAGAAGGGTTAGGAAATTGAAATTCTTAAGTTAGAATTAATCTTGGGAAGGATACAGCTCTGTCTGGGGCTCTGTTTTCCCTAAACATAGCCTGGACTATGTTTGTTTTTAAGACTTACGTCCTTTTCCTCTCCTAACTTTAAAGCTAAATGAATAGAGTAGTGAAGTAACTGCTCCTATACTCATTTTCCTTCTTGGTGCTTATGGAGTTCTCACATGATTTTGTTTTCTGGATAACATAAGAAAAATGTGCAGAGAAAACAGAAACACTGGGAGAAGATCATCGCCTCAAAGAGGAGCAAAAGAAAGCAGGAAAGAGAAAGACGGAAAGCCGGCCGTGCAGCAGACACAGGTGAGCGAGAGCCAGACCCTGCGCCCGGGACAGTCTAAAGCTGCTTATGCGAACACAGACAGCCAGAAGGTAGACCCCGCTGTCGCGTTTGGTGAGAACTTGGAGTCGAGGAAAGCTCCCTTTCACAGGCAGGCTTGGTAGTGAGCACGAGTGTTGTAAACTCAGGAGAGGAAAGAACGGGACCAACAGCAGCTAACGTCGCTCAGTGTGTTAGGGTTGGTGCTGAGAATGTGCTTGGGTTACCTTAGGGGATAGCTGCTGTTACCATCTCCATTTTGTAGGTAGAGACGGAGGCTTGGGTTAGGGAGCGTGCCCAAGATCACAGAGTTAGTAACTGAGAGACTAGGGTGGCAACCCAGTGGTCAGCCGCAGAGCCAGGCTGGTACACCTGACTCCACTGAGTCTGGTACACCTGACTCTAATGATGTGTGCCCTGTCCATCCCAAGTGCCTCTTTATGTACGAAAGGGAGTCACCTGGCTGGAGAGGTTCGTTTCTTACTGTATGTCATATTTGTTTTCCTTTCTGATATTTCTGTTTCAGGCATCTGCCCCCAGCACAGCAAACGCTTTCTGAGAGCCTTAACCAGAGAGAGACTTCTGGAAGCCAGACATTCAGGACCAAGACTCTGTATCGACTTGAGTATGACCAACCACATGTCTAAGAAGGTAAAACACCCACCAAGCCCCCAACTTCTGCTTTCAGGAGGGAGGCCTGGGCAGGAGCAGCCTTCATGGAGGGCATGACCAGCTCCTGCTTCTCTAATTCTTTAGTAAGCCAGCAAATGCCTGGGTTTCTACGCTGAGCTGCTGTAAAAGTGTCTGAGAGAGAGTTGACGTGCTCCAGTTTAGGTGCACGTGTTTACCTTATCCTTCTGGTTTGAGCCGAATACCTTTCCCTCTCTCTGGGGTGCCCCAGTCTAGATAAACCCTTTCAGGTTCAATTCTCCAGAGACTACCCCTTGGGTCTTCTGCCAATGTGAGGGGTATTTGTGGGGTTGCAGGCCATGGGAAGGTTACCTGGTGGTAACATCACGTACCTGCAGTGTGTGTAAGCTTTAAACAGACGTCTTTGTTTTCCCTTGTGGCATGTGCTAGTGTTTACATGTTTTTCAGAGAAACTAGGAAGAGTGCAGATCTGTAGTTGTTCTTATTTCTTTGAAGGAATTAAGTAGACTGGCAGGACAGATCCGAAGGTTGTATGGCTCAAATAAAAAGGCTGACAAGCCATTTTGGATCTGCCTCTCTGGATTCACGACAGACAGTCCCCTGTATGAAGAGTGTGTGAGGATGAACGATGGATTCTCTAGTTATGTGGTAAGGCTCTTCTTGTATGTTTTTTGAATTTTAATCTAAAAAGTGGTTGTAGGTAATTATTTTTTTTACTTTTTCACATTTTGATGTAAAAAAATACAAGTTACATGCTTTCACTATTGCAGTCTAAAAAAATTCAGAACCTCTCACCAGGTCTTACATGTAATATTTTTCTCATCCTTCCGCTGCAGTGGCGGATTAGTCTGCAGGTGTGTGGGAGTGTGTTTTGTATCTTGCGTGCTGGATCAGTGGGAGCCCTGGTGGTGCACTGGTTAGGTACCCAGCTGGTAATTGAAAAGGTTGGCAGTTCACACTTGCCTGATAGCTCTGGGGGCCCAAGACCTGGTGACCTGCTCCCACAAAGATTGCAGTCTAACAAGCCCTCTAGGACAGTTTTCTATTATGTGGGCACCTGTGTGTCAGGATCCACTTGACAGCTCCCAGCAACAAACCAAGCTGCGCTGTGCCCTCCAGGGATGGAGGTCAGGGGAGTGCCACGGCTCTATTCTTGTTTTTGGTCATGCAGAATTGGGGGCTTGGATTGTGGGGGGACAGAAAGAATCCTTTTGGAAGTGATGTGGATTCAAGGTGAACTTTAGGGAGGAAAATTTCTGAGTGACCAAATCCAGCTTGACTGGAAGGTGCAGTCCTGGGTTCTGAGTTAGATCTTATACAAGTGGTTCAGCCTCTCTGTCAGGTGTTTGTCCCTAGAATGGTAGACATGGAGTGCTAAGGTCCAGCCTTTTCCCTAGGATCTCATAAATGGAGTGGTAGATATGCAGGTGAGAATTCAGATCAAGTTTAAGAAGTGTTGCTGAGATGTCCTGTGTGCTTAGGCTGAGCGGTGGTGACCTCAGATTGAGTCTAGGAGACGTCGCTACGATGTCCCACATGCAAAGGCTGAGCGGTGGTGACCTCAGATCGAGTCTAGGAGACGTCGCTATGATGTCTGGTGTGCTTAGGCTGAGCGGTGGTGGCCTTCCCTGCGGAGGTCCATGGGGCAGAGCACACCTGCAGGGCTCTCTGGTTGTGGATGCTGCTCTGGTCCTGATAGCTCCTCTTGCAGTGCAGCTACCCCCAGCTTTCCTCCTCTGTACGTGGTTTTATGGTTCCTGGCTGTGGCCAGGCAGGCCCGTGGGCCTACGCAGTGCCCTGCTTTCCTGTCTTGTGCCTGTGCAGGCACTGCCTCCACCTGGAGTGCTTCTCCTTTTGTTAGTGTCAGTCTCCTCCCTTTACAGAAGCCAGCTTCCACATTCCCTTGGCAGAAGGTGCCCCGGTGGTGGTACTCCCTCATCTGCAGTCCTGGGGCGTGTTCCCTGTGCCTCTATTAGGGCCCCATAGCACTTTCTGTCTCATTTTTGAGCAGTGGCTGCCATCCATGTGACCCAGTGGTGCCCTAGAGCTGTGCCTGACGGACTAGATGTCTAGTAATAGCTGTTGCGTTGTAGGCTATGTTGTAACTTAGTTCCCACTACATTGGGTTGTTTGTATTTTTCAGCTAGACACAACAGAAGAAGACTGCTTTACTTTATTTCCTCTGGAAACCCTAGTGTACCTGACTCCTGACTCTGAACACGGTATGTCTGTTACTGCATGGATACATGTGACACATTGTTCTCAGCCCTTTGTTTCATTATCTCCTGAGGTCAGATTTGGTAAAGCCATCCAAGCAGTAATCCCCAAAAAAAGAAACAAAGGAGTGGACATTAGGTGCACATCTGTTAAGGCTGAGGCCTCACTGGTTGCTTTGCACGGGTCCTCCCATATGCACACACATGCAGACTGAGCGGCTCCATCCTCACTGGCACCTTCCATGCTGTCTGCTCGTCCTTTCCAGTTTCCTTTTTCAGTTCCCCACCAGCCCTTCCTGGGTCAGTATATTGTGTGTGTGTGTGTATTTTTTTACTATAAAATCATCCCTTTTATGGAATTTCAGAGTTGATTGGTATTAAGTTGATCGCAGCGTTCTCATCGATCATCTCACGTGTCTCTGTGTCTTTGTTTGTGCTCTTTATGAATCCTTGTTTGGATTTGGGGCTGATGCCTTTTTTTCTTAATCACATATGCCAAAGGGTTGGCTATTTTATTGGTGTTTTGAGAAGTTTAGCTTTTGGTTTTATTGAGCAAATCTGTCTTTTTGTCTTGTATTTTATTACATTTCTACTTTAAAGGAAATCTTTGCTTCTTTCCTTAGATTTAGAAATTATAAAACAGATTTGATCTAAATGGCCTTTATTCTTCCATTAGCTCTTGAAGACGTGGATCTAAACAAAGTTTACGTTCTGGGTGGACTTGTGGATGAAAGCGTCCAGAAGGTGAGTGTACCGTTCAGGCCCAGCAGCTGTGTTCTGAAAGGTGGGGCTTCCTGTTAGAGGCACCTGCCTGTCACAGTCTCACCACCCAAAGAGGTTAAGAATGCCCAGGGGACAGGAAGAAGGAGCCTGTTGCCTGGATTGGCCTTCCCACCCGTAGCGTTCCCTCTCCTCATGAACAATGCCAGTAGCCCCGGCCCAACAGAGTCAAGAGTCAGGGATTGGAGTGGGGGGTTGGGGAGGACACACCTGGTCATTGCTGAGCCTCTGCTCTGTCCTGTTGGGTTCTGCCTGGAGCATCCTAACCTTGACCCAAGGGAACGCTGCCTCAGCATTCCTATTGGTCAGCTTTGCTGCTGATGCAAGTCTTCTGTAAGCTCACTCAATGAGACTGTCCCAGTTTCCTTTGTTGAATTGGGGTTTTATTGGAATAATTGGGGTGTCACTGGAGTTTTGAGATAAGCTTCTCTTATACACATAGTTGCCGAGATAATTTACTAATTGACTTATTTTGCGTGCACTTGGTATAGTAGTGAAAATCTGCGAAAGGGAGTAGAGTGAGAAATCAGTCTCCCTCCCCCTCTTGTCCTTCCCTCCTCCCC